TTACTTACTGAATGTGAAAAAGTTCACGAAAGAAAATAATGTAGTATTTAATGAACAGAATATCTATTTATTGAAGGAAAAAAACATTCAAATATTTATCTGCGAGATATAAAGTGACAGGATAGTAGGATTGGTTTTACTGTGAAATAAAGTGTACCTGAGGCGAACACTACTCCCATCAGACATGTACTGCCACTTTTCTGTAGGAGCTTTTTCTCCACAAAGTTCAACTGGTGGTTCATTTGCTCTGTGCCACAATCGCACCACAGCAGCTGGGCACCCTCGATCTAAGGCAACACGTTAATGTTATGAATAAATTACTTATCTTGTACCTTTTATACCATAGTGCCACAAATATATTGTAAGTAGATAGATATTTGCTTATTTTACTCACTTGCTGGGTCTCCTTCCACTGCAAATACTTCAAAGTTGAGCAGTATCTTGTATTTTGGCCGGACATTTATATACCAATTACAGGTCTTGCTGGCAAGTCCTTTTGCGGGACTATCATAGTTTAGGGGAAAGTTAGGACTTCTAATTTCTCCATGTTCTAAACTGCTTACATTGCTACCACAGTCTGAAGCAAATCAACAGAGACAATTAAAATTTGGATGTGTGGAAAGAAATTAAAAATTAACAAATGTTTTTCTGTACTATACCTCCAAATATGGACTTAGCAATTTCAAAGGTATATCTAGCTTTGAAACCACTAAAGACACCCTCTTGATCAGAATGTAACAATATTTTTACTCCTATAGCACCACGATTTGATTCAACTGGCCCTGGTGCAGTCGTTCCACAGTAACGACCTATGAGTTTTTCTGTTCCGTCTCTATACATGTTATACATTTCTAACCAATCTTCTTGACAGGTGCCACTGGAAATTAAATTGAAATCAAGATGAAATGTAGATTCCAGTACCATAAATATTTATTTATTTTAGTTCTTCGTATTCATCGGTATAAAGTTTTTTACCTGATTAGGAGCTTATCAACATTAAAAGCTCACAAGTAATAAAAATTAATACATACTTGTGAATAATTACAAATAATAAAATATAAAATTAACTTAAATATCACAAATCTAACATTATACAAAACATTAAGTATTGTTAACCCTGGAAAGCCTGAGATGAGTCCAACAGACTACTTCCATCTTTTAATACTAATAAAATTATTGGAAATTTGATCTCTGCCCCTAGCCTCCAGGTATTCTTTTAAATATACCTTCTAAGTGTTACCTCAAAATATCTCTCAATTTTTTGTATTTTTTATTCACATATTGCAACCAACATATTTTTAGGTCACAGAAGCCGGAGGTGAATCATCAAGACTCGTTTGTAGTTTCATATTTTTCTTTTCACCAATGATATTTTAAATTGTTTAGTTTTTCTGAGAAAATGTATGGTTATTGTAGAGATTGCTAGACTGGTCTTCTGCACATTTCTATTGTTGCTAGTGAGAATTTTGTGTACATTTATCTCTACTCACATACATTTGATATGATTGCACAGACCATTGGTTGTATCCAGAGTTGCTTCAGTGCATGATGATTGTGAGGATTTGTGCACTCTGGCTACAAATATTTTCTGGTAGTAAATATTTTCAAAATTGAATCTCGAGATTTTATACCTCTGCGTGAATCAAATATTTTCATTTGTGTAGTTATCAAGATGTCTAGGCTGAAGCTATGACAATGTCTGAGGTGGATGCTAAGACTCAGGTGGGCCTTGATTTAAATGATGAAAATTTATCTGATGGATTATTTTCGGAAAGCAAAGATAGTGATTACGACCCCAAAAATATTAATAGGGAAGATAGATAATGTTAGGGAAGGATAATATCCTAGGGAAAAAGATAATATTAATGTCAGAAGTAACTATAGCAACACTGTTGAGTGTGAAGACGCTGTCATTACAATATGTGCAACAGAAATGTACGTTCGGGACACTATTCATGTCGAAGAGAATGTTTTCGGTGTGAAAAGCAAATTAATTGTTGTCCAAAAATATAATAAATAGTCAGGCTTAGTCGGTTGGAAAAACACATGGGCTTTCTAGGGTTCAAAATTGAATATTCTGCTAATCTATGGTTTCATCAAGATAAAAAATAGGGGGGAGCAAAATGCAGACACAAGTGAATCAGATGCATACAATGATATCACTAATTTACTGAGTATCTCATGAAAGATAGGATTGAAAGAGGCAAAAAGAGTTTTTGAATTGGCAAGAAACAGAAAGAGCCCCAGGTTGGTGAATTGGCTTAAGTATGGAATTAATAAAATATGGAGGAATACAACTGGGAAAGAAATTATCAGAGGTACTGAATGAAAAAGGGCAGAATTAATCATACCAATAGAATGGCAAGTGGGAATGAATGGTGATGAATTAACACAAAAAAGTCCCTAAAATGAAATGTGAGTATTAAAGAGATACCACAAGCAACAGGATACAAAATAAATGCAAGCATTTTGAAAAACAGGTTAGAGATATGTAATGAAAGAATATTGCAAGAAGAAGAATGTTTTTTAAAAAAGGGAGAGGAACAATTGCTGCAATTTTGTTTCATAGACCAAATTATAAAAAGAAGATGAAAAACCTTTACCAATAAACTTTCTATTCATGAATCAATAGAGTGTATGTGATAAAATGATCAGAAAAAGTCTAGAACATTCTCTAAAAATAGAATAGAGATAACAATCTGTAAAAAGTGATAAAGCGCTTATATAAGAACTCAAAAATTAAGATATAAAGCATGAATGAGGACATAACATGAGCAGTCCCAATGAAAAGAGGGGTCTGTCAAGGACGCAAGTTATCTTTCAATATTAAATAAACCACATAATGAAGAGATGTAAAAGAGATGTAGGAAATGGAATAATTCTGAAACCCAAAAGAATAATAAATATGATTTTGTATGTAGATGATCATGTATGATCATGTAATTCTGACAACAATAGAACATAAATTTCATAGAGGATCTTTTACGTTATTTAAGATTGCCGAAGATTATGGAATAAAAATTTTACCAACAAAGACTAAAGCTATTGGAATCTAAGCAAGAACACAGAAGTTAAATGTAGCTATTTGGCAAAATTAAAGAACAGGTAACATATTTCACACATTTGAAAACCAGATTGACATTACATAATGCAGATATTAAAATGAAATTGCCTAGACATAACACAATTAATAGAAATATCAAAACACAAAAAAAATATGGCCTTTGAGACCAAAATTAGACTACACAAAGCAGAATCTAAATCAACGGTGCGAAATGGCAGTGAAGCGTTTGTGTTGGAGAGGAGAAAGAAACAAAAGCTGGAAGCTGCACAAATGAGATGTTCGAGATCAACCTTAAATATCAATAGAAGAGATAGTGTTAGAAGCCAGGACACAAGGAAGACACTGAAAACAAAAAATACAATCAAGAAAGTAGCAGATTACTAAAGAAAATGGCAAAAACTCATTGAGATAATGATTGCAAACATGTATTACCACAGATGCACTCATACCAACCAAAAGGTTGGAAAGAATGTGGAAGACCACAAAGATGGCAAGACCAGGAACATATTAGTGGCTAAGGGAATGCTAGGTTTTAAAGGAACAGGTCATGCTGGCCTAATCTTTACTAGCTGATGATAATCTCAGTTTTCTTCAACAAGAAATAAATAAGTTTATTAAATACCAAACATTCTTATGATGGAAAGAAACATAATAAAAGGTAAAAACAAAATATTATATTTACCCATAAGATCCAAAAGTTGCATTAGCTGAATCTGCTCTTACTTTGAAGTGATCAAACACAAGAGTTACTTGCTCATTAGGTGTTCCCAAAAAAAGATAAGTGCAATTAGTTTCACTGGGGTAATTGGATGGATAACGTGGTGAATTGAATTCTCCCTTTTTTCTACTTGAACTTCGATAGGTAAAAATACAACTGCCATCAGGTGCTGCTGTTCCAGGAATCTTGTAATCTGAAGAAGAGTAAAGGGAAATATAAGAAAAGTAAAATATATATATTTTTAATAAACATTTATAATTGTTATCACAGTAGAATAAAAGGTAGAAATGTTTCTTTGATAATTCTTATTAAATCATACATTTTTTCTAGTTTGTAATATTAAAGGTAACAGTGAGAAGAAGCCTAAAATATTTGTTGGTTAAATGATATCATCTGTAACATGTACACAAAAACAAGAGAAGTAATACATCTATTTATTTATTTACATCAAAAACAGTTAAAAGCTGTGTGTAATGTGCTACAGGGAGAAGTTAATTTGAAATTACATTTATGTCCAAAAGTACAAGGGGCCATCTCAGCATTTGCTCGAGGTTCAGGGAAACAGGACGAAAACCTGATTGAAATGGGCTCATATACACAACAAGCAGTGTGGAGGCTGACTGCATTTGAAAGAATTCTGAAAACGTACCGTAAAGAACTTAATGTAGTGTTCAATTCATTAAAATGGATATTCCATTTAAGGTTTGACTGAATTGAAAGACCTAAAAATTTTGTTACCTTAACATCAGTCAATGGTATACTGTTCATTTTCACTGAAGTGCTGAGCTGTTTATTTGAAATGGAAAACCGCATTGAAACAGTTTTCTTTTCATTTACTATTAATTTATTATTACGGAACCAATTTGAAATATCTGATATTGTACTATTTACAGTTTCTTTATTGCAAAGAATATTTGTATAATCCGATCAATAAGTTATTTCTGTTATAACAGAAACAATACAACATCAATACCAACATCTATAAGTTATTTCTGTTATAACAATAAAGCTAAAGAAGAACTTTAACAGTATTGTTTAATAAGTTTTAGTATTGTTTCTGTATGCATTACTGAGATATTTATTTAACTAGCATCTATATAAATATTTTCACACATTAAAAGTTTTTTTTTTATATTTAAATAAAAAAATCATACCTGTTTCAAAAGTGTACTTTGCTTTAAAACCTTGTCCTTGTACTTCACCACTACTAAATACCATAACAAGTCGAGGTCCATCTGATACTACGACCTTGGGATTACTATCATCATCTCCACACATTTCATGATCAAATTTATCATAAGAATCTGTGGCTTCTTGACCCTTGAGGTAAACTTTTAAATAACCATCTGTGCAGCTAGAAAGCAATAGGATACAATATTAATCTCCCAATGAAGGCACAATGTTCTTTAAGCACTGAGAATATACAAACACTTACTCTCCTCTCTCTCCGCCCTTTGGTATTTTGAACTTCATAAATTCCAATCGCACTCTTTCTAGATGCTGTGAATCTTGCATTCCATAAATGAAGTAACGACAAACAATTTTTGGAAGGTAGGGAAATGGATAATTGGGGCTGAACACATAACCACTAGATTTCTTTTTGCTTAGAATTTGTTGGTCACATTCTGAACCTCTTATATGTTCTCCATCATTTTTACCAATAAAATCTGCAAAAATTAAATTTTTAGTAACTTCTAAATTCAGATAATTGATTAGAGAAAAATTATTTTTAATTTCATAAATAATTAGCTTACCTAGTTTTACAAAACTCTCACTAAACTCAAAAATTCCTTTAAAACCTCTGTTTTGAGTATTGGCTGTCCGTTGTATTGTGAAAAATGAAACGAATAAAGAAGCTTCAGATGAATATATAACTAGATTACGTTGCTGCCCACAATAAGTTCCAATTACTGCTGATCCATTATCCCGTCCATCATACACCTTCACGTAGTCAAATGGACAGCTATAATGTAAAAAACACACACAATTTGAAATAATGAAATGCAATTAGATATGTAAGTTCAGTAATTTGTTAAATTCATGCATATAAAAATAATGACATACCAATTTCAAATTCAATATTTTATTACAATTTATAAAATGAAAATTTGTTTCTATGATTATTTGCAGACGAAAATTGCCTTTCATAATTATAAAAAATTGAATAAAACTTACTGTGCACCTCCAAAAAAGAGGTCAAAATCTCTAAATTCAAGTCTGACTCTTTGTGTTGGAGACCCTAGGAACTGGTAAGTGCAAGTTAGGTCTTTTGGGTATGTTCCAGGGTAAGTTGGTGATACAATTACACCTTGCCTTTTACTCGATGCATGTACTGTGTAGCTGCAAGGAGTATTGGGCACAGGAGTACCAACTTCATACTCCGCTGCAAAAAATGATAAAATAATTAATTAAAAGGGATTTCAACATTCATGTTAAAGAGAAAGAATAATAAAACTAGTCATAAATGTATGTTTCTAATCAATTTATTGGTCATCCAATACCAAGGCATTAAGAAATTACATTAATTTTAATGATTAAAATTTTTGTTGATAGTTTGGAAAGAATTAACCAAATATTCTTATGTGTTATAAGCATTCAATCAATTTAAACTGAAATATCTGTGTAGCATCTGAGACATTTCCAGGATGTTTCTTTTGAATACTTTTTTCGTGGTTATATTCGTCACTTTTGTGTTCTTTGTTTAAGAAATTCAATTCTTAGGTTCCCTAATAATGCTTTTTTACATGCTATTCAAATACTTCATTTATGATTTGAAGATCATAAGAAAGGATGAGAGCATATTGACTGAATATGTGGAGGACAGGCCAAGGTGGTGTTTTCGCTCATGCTGCTTTTCTGTTCAGGTACAAGTCTGTAGAAAAGCAACTCAACTATAATAAATACTATAAAAAATAAAATAAATACTATAAAAAAAGAAAGAAGACTTCCTTATTTCATTGTTGGCCACCGTATTTTTACTTTCTCTTTTATGTAGTATAGAGAAAGTTTTGAAATAAATTGATTTTGAGCTTTTGATGACAATACATGTTTTAGGGCTCCCTAACATGGAAAACACTGTTTTTAAAAAGTATTTATGTTGATCTGTGAGCAAAACCAACACTTAAACAGTTTTCAGAATATTTTTTTAAATGGATTTTCTCCAATTGATCTGGCTCAACTTGAGCCCTAGTGAATTTAAAGTGAACCTTTAAATTTTTTGCATTACTTAAGCCTGTAAAACATTTTTTCTTAAATTATTATGCTTAAATAGAATAAAGTGTGCTAAATTAAATGGTAAAATATTTTTTTTATTGAAACATATGAAATTCAAAATATTGCCAGTCTCGAATCTGTCCTGCGCTTTTATTAATAGAACCATATGTCTTTCTTAATGTTTTCTATTCTTCAGTATTTGATCTTCAAATCCTTTCATGTATTTTTTCATATACAAGTATATTTTGCACAATTATGTGTCAAATTTTGACAATATTCTAAAAATATCTTAAAAACATTGTCTGAAAAATGTCTCAGTTCTTTGCTTTTGTATGGATAGAGATAAATGGAAAGATGAAGAACTTCTTCTTCATCTTTCCCTTTGTGCCTTTAAGCATCAGAAGAATAGAGAACACTGCACTAAATAACATTATATTAGTTGCATTTTGATTAAAACTTTTGAATTTTTAAAAATTACATATGTGTAATTTTCTTAATCATCTAGTTCATTTTCAATATTGACTTCACAGGGGAATTTTATTCTTAAACTTTGTGAAAACAAATGCTTCAAATAATCTCTTGGGCTCACATTCTCAGAGCGAGTCTCTATGGGGTTGGGATTCTGGAGCTCAAGAAAAATCATCATCATCATCATCATCGTCGTCGTCATCGTAATAATAGTAATAATAATAGTAATAATAATAGTAATAATAATAGTAATAATAATAGTAATAATAGTAATAATAATAACAATAAACTGCAGGCATTTAGGTATGATCCTGTTCCAGTTTGTGCTGGTAATCTTCTAGGTGTTCCTGATTTTTCCATCTCTTAAAAGGTCTTCCAATGTCTCTGTTTCCAATTGATTTATATTTCCAGATGAGTTTTCATAGTCTGTCACTCTCCATCCTGAAAATGTTTTTTCCACCTCTTTTGTGATTCTTCAATCTCTTCTATTAGATTTTTGGTTTCTTGTTTTCTTCTCAACCTGTGTCCTCTCATGACTCCTAAGAGGTGGCTTAGGAGAGTAGTTTATGCCATTTGTATTTTCTGCTTATTGTTTTCCTTCATTATCCACGTTTCTGAACTATATAGAAGCATTGGTTTAGCTGTGATGTTATGAAGTTTCAATTTTGTGGTGGAATCCATATCCTTCCTAAAGTGTTTTTCAATGGTTCTTCACATTCTGTATTAAATATGTAGTTTTCTCTTGATATCTTCTTGAGCGTGGCTTAGTATATGGATTCTGTTTCCTAAGTAAGTGAATTCTCTTACTGACTCTACTATTTCCCCATTTATTTCAATTTTAACTCTTATTTGTTCCTTTCCTTGCATTGCTATGGATCTTATTTTGCTTATATATATTCTCATGGAATATTCTGGTGAAACTTTTGATAGTTCAAAAATTGCCCTCTGTATGTTTTCTTCGGATTCACTACATTCACTCACTACACTCCTGGTCATCTGCGTACAGGATTGTGTCAATATTTTTATCTCCTTTGATTAAAATTACCTGGTTTATCTTCTTCCACCAATTCCTAAATGGCTAATATAGATGTTGAAGAGAATCGGCAATAAACCACAACCTTGTCTGAAGCCACTGATAGTTGTTATTGATGATGAGTTTCTCCCCTTTCCTAGCTGAACTTTTATTCTGGATTTCTCATAGAGACTTCGTCCTACTTTATTTACATGATGTGAGATTTTCTCCTCTTCCATGATTTCTGATAATTTCTTCCCATCAACTCTTGTATGCTTTTTCGTAGCCCACAAATATGACAAATGTAGGTAAATTTACTACTTTTCTTTTATCTATGAGCATTTGTAATGTGAAGATGGCATCTTTGGTGCTCCTCTTTCTGAAGCCACACTGTTTCTCACTCAGAAATTTTTCACTTAATTCATTGATTCTGTTCCTTAAGATATTTGCATAAATCTTTGACATTGATGATAGTAAAGGGGTTCTCCTGTAGTTGTTGCAGTCTTTCTTATAAAACCCTTTTTGTGGATATTGATGTTTAGTCCTTCCTGCCAATCTGTTGGTATTTTTGTTTCTTGACAAATTTTATTGAAAAGTTCAAGTAAGGGTTTCTTTTGGTTTCTTTCCCCCATATCTGTTCCTAAGCTTTTTCTGTTTTTTGCTTTTCTCAATTGTTTCAAATTCTGACATTCTTACTAGGTTATTTGTGTGATCATCAATGTATGTCTGTTCTGTTTCTTTTGCCTGCCTGTTGACACAACCTTCTTTGTTCCAAAGTGTGTGGTAGTGTTTGATCCAATCTTCCTCTGTGATGTTGTTCAGTGAGTTTGTATCTTTTGTATTCATATTAAGATGTTTCAGAATTTTGATCCCTATTCTCTGAGGACCCATGATGCCTCTCTCTAGACTTTTAATATGTGCTCTCTAATTCTCTCTTCTGTACTTTCGGCAAAGTTGTCTTACTTTGACCCTTACTTGCTTATATTCTATATAATGCTATATAATGTTTTAATGTTTGTTTGTGCACATAGGTCCTGAAAGCTTGTTTCTTCTGGGCTATTATTTCTTTAATTTCACAGTCCCATTTCCTGAACCATTTCTTCTTCTTGCAAGTTTAATTCCCCTGCTTTCCTTCTCTGCAACAAGCACCGCTTGTTTAATTGAATTCCAGAGTGTGTCAATATCATCTTTATCTATTGTCTGCAATTTGTCTTCTAATCTTCTGTCACACAAGTTTCTACTACTTTCATCTTTTAGCAGATCTACTTTGAGCTTGGGTAGTTAATTTTCTCTATTTTCAGCTTGCAAGTTCAGTTGAATGCTCAAGAAAATGTTCAGTTTATACTTCTTTTCATATGTTACATACAGTTTTTACTGTTGTTTGACAAAATGAATCAAATAAACCCAATCAAATCAAAGTTTGTTCCAAATTTTCCTCCAAAAATTTCCAGATAGAAAACAAATTTGGTCATCAGTGATATGAAAGCCTCATATTAATTAAATTATTAACAGACTGAAATAGCGAGAAGATGCAAAAAAAGTACATTATTTTCGATAAAACACAATATTATAGGAAAGGAAACTAACTCACCATAGCAAATTGGAAAATTTCTAAATATTGTATTTAGTTTTGAGAAATTGTTTTTTAATGAATGCAAGAATGAAAGTTTTGAAGATAAAAAATACTTCTGAGCATTATTGTTCCAGAAGCAATGAATGATGTTGAGTGTCATACAGATAAATAAAGTCGGTTTTGAAATGACATTATTGTTCATGTATTTTGCCGGTCTATTTTTCTTATAAACTGAATTTTGAAGATACTAGAAAATAGACATGATGGTTCTTACTGGGCAATATGATTATTATCATTTTACATATTTGTTTAAAATAATACATGTCAATACATACAATAATCAAGTATGTATTATGTTCAAACATGATAGTTTCATCTCGTAAGGGGAAAGCTTTGTTTGATTTGAAATCCAAAATAAAATATATAAATTTTGCTGCAAATTAATTAGATCTAAAATTACTCTTAGAAGCTTTTTACATATAATATGTATGAATCAATTAGTACCAGTGCCAGAGCTAGACAATTTTGGGCCCAGGGCAATGCTTAGTCTCTCCCGCAAAAAAAATTAAAAATGTGAAAGTTATATCAAGATGAGTTATTTTATTTCAACATATAACAAAAATTACAATGTTTGAGAAAAAAAATCTACAGAGAGCTTAAAAAGCAAAAAAAATATTGTGTTTAGTTTGTTAATAAAATTACTTGTTAAATACAAGAAATAATAAATATGAAGTTCATAGAATCTATTTTAATGTTAGTGACATTCGAATGCATACATTTTTTCATTTCATAGATAGGGCCTACATACAATGTAAATATCATTATCTGAGACATAAATATAATGGAATACGATTATTATTTAATAAAGTTACTTTCTGTCAATGATTTGCATGCATTTTATTACTTACTTTTTACTAATTTCTTTTTTAATTTTTTACTATTTTTTTCCCATCAGTCACATTATTAGGCCCCTTGACTTGCAGGACCCTGGGTGATCGCTCGATCTGCTCATGCTTAGCACTGACATTGATTAGTACCTGATATTTTCTATATTTCCATATGTTTCCTCAGTACAATATATTTCTTGTCCCATAAATTTAGAGGCAAATGAATGTAAGCTTACATGAATTATTTGGAGGAACTGCAAGGTAAAGTTGAAGAAAAGAAACCAAAACTGATGTTCAAGAAGATGAGAAAGTAGAAACTAAAAAATGGAGATCAACTGTATATAATGTTAAAAAAAAAAGTGCTCTGAGGACAGGTACATGAGATTCGGCGAAGCAATTATCATCAATAAACTGCAGGTCTAAATGGCAAGTACTTGATGCTAGGCTGCACCAAAAAATCTGTCCTCTGCAAGGTCGACTTAACAATGCACACACAAGTCATATGAGTGACCATTATTTCAAGCTGAGAAGTGTAATGCAGAAAAGGCCATAAATATTGCCTTCAATGTGTAGCTAAGGAGCATACATTTTAGGAGATGAAAGAAACAGAGATGCTGGAAAATGTGTCCTATGTTCAGTGTTAGACTTAATTACAAATTTCTATTCAACACCCATTTATTCTCATTAAGAAACATCCTGAGTGGTGTAAAATTGCACAAACGTACTTATAAATTACAAATTCTCTTTCATATTATGCATATGTTTAAATCTTATGGAAGGGTTACATTCATCTTACTGAAACAATAACAAGAAATGAGAGAAAGTAGAAAGTACTGATCTGAAAGTAAAATGTATTGCTGAGCATAGTCAATCATTTTAAGTCTAATAATCTATAACTGTTTTGTGCATGTTTTGTAGAAATGGAGTCTTAGTTGTTTTTTATACATTTTTTCTAACTGAATATGTAAAAGAGCATTAGAAATGATACAAAAATGTTAGATACTAATTTTTACAAATAATGATTCAATTTAATGGAATCACACATCAGAATCTTCATTGTCTTCTACTCAGGAAGATCTGATTTTGTAATGAAAACAAAAGTTGATTTCTTGATATTCATATACATGTTGAATAAATGTTATACATACTATCATTAATGAAGGCATATCTTCCAGTGAACAAATCAGGTGTGGTAGCATTTCTGTCTGTGTAGAAACCAAGGGCAAGAGCTTTATAGAGAGAAATTCTCCGTCTTGGAGGTATGGGGCCGCAATAGCGTCCTCCAAATGGTGAATTGATAAGTTCGGAGGCTTCTGGCTGCTGTACCTCAGCATACACATCCATGTACTCGTGGATACACCTAAAAGGAGAAGAAGAACAGTTGAGATGGAGAGAATGAATTTTCACACAGAAGATTTCAACTTTTTTTCTATCATTATATTCAATTATGGAAATATATGCAATTTAAAATAGTAAACATATTGTAAACATTCAATAAAAACAGATCAGCATGGTTGCTACAAAATGAAGACACCACCAGACACATATTCAGCACAAAATCTGAAATTAAGAGAAGCTTAATACTCAAAACATTGCTTTCTTCAGATAATAAAATTCACTTTCCTTTCTATTACACTTACACAAGTGTCATGTTATGTCATATTATAGGGTATCAGGAAGGTATATTGAACGATATTGGATATCTCAAGGAGGTGGTTGAGAAATTATGAAGGATACAATATGTCCTAACAAGCAATGAAAAACAGACAAACATATAACATCAATAGTTTAAAATGTCTTACCTCAAATATGATGGCAACAATACTGATCATGTTTCAGACATACTTCCAAGTTATACTCATTTTTAGAACATGCAAAATATCACGACTTTTTGGGTGTATTTCGATTGGGAGGAAACAAAAACAATAACAAAAAACCTATTGAATATTTTGATAAAAATACATGTAACAAATAGAAAAAATAAAATATAACATTTACTATTTTTACCTGGTGTTGAGAAAGTAGCGGCTACTAAGAGACTGAAGTACAGATATTTTTAAAAAGTTAGAAAATCAAGAGAAAAAGGAAGAGATATGAGATAAGGAATGAAATATCTTTTTCCATTTCCAGGTAAAATACCTTTGATCTGATGCAGCAAAGGCACTGAACACTGTACCTAGCAACTTGATTTCAAGCAGTGAATAAACTACTGCGCTACACTGTGTCATGTTAAAAAAAAAATTATCCAGCTGGAAGAGAAAAGAGATGAAGAAAGTCTCTGTGAAGAAAAGTCTAGAAAAGATAAGAGGAAAAGAAATGTATTTCAATTTGCTACACCTAAAAGAGTACTATTAGTTTACAAGGATAAAACTTTTGTTAAAGAAAGTGTTAATTTAATAAATAGTCAAGGTAACACTGAGAGCTACAAAATTGCATATGTATATATGTACATGAGTGTTTGTTGAAAAACAACTCACTTTACATGTTATTAATACAAATATATCTGTTACTATTGTGATGAAACATGCATTCTGAAGAAGAAAGAAGATTGGATGCATAAAATTTGAAAAATAAACAGGATAGTGAACTGAGTAGTACTCACGAAGGCAAAACTCCAGCTGCAGTTCCACTGCCATGGAAAAAAGCAAACAAAGACCAACAAATCAGGAGAAATGAAAACTCTGAATCGCGAAGACATGCAGTCACCAAAAAACATACACATAACAAAAAATGTATACAATAACAATCTACTCCTTGTGTCCTGTTAAACAACTTTCGATTGCTTTCCTGTACATGAACAATACATGAATAACGATTATTGTAGGAAGTATGCCATCAAACACAACACTTCACAACTTCAAGAAAACACTGCATACAGTATTTGCTAACAGCAGTAATTTAGGTGATGTGTACAAGTATAATAAGATTGAAAGCACAACCAGGAGGCCAAATACAAGTCTACAATTATCTAATATACTGGATAAAGACATCAACTTTCTAAAACAACAACTGCAGAAGCAGAGGAGGTGAGGAGCTGAATTGCAAGGTTAGTTATTACTAGTATTACTTTAAAACATGTTTAAACAATACTGAACAATTAGATAAAATATCTCCATACTGTAACATTGTACAAAATAATCAATATACATGTTCAATGTAATTGTGAATGTATGCTTTGTATATGGGTAATTTCCAATAAGGAAAAAGATTACAATATATTAATTATTTGGAAGTAATACATTAAAAATTATTCATTAAAAATTATAGATTACAACATTAGAGAATCTAATCCACAGTAATTTTCTTCATAGAGGACAAAAATTTTTATTCTGAAAGTTGACTACCTACTAAATATAAATATCTATGATGGAGGAAATTTGCTACCATCTTTAAAACGTATGAATGAAGTTGCCTTTAAGGTAAGATTTGAAAGTTTAATGGTATTGCTAAAAAATATTTTTTGTATTAGATTTCCTTTAGCCAGTGCTTCTAAAATAAAGCTTTTACAATAGCATATAAAATATCCAGTATAAACATGATGTTAGTGCTGCAATATGAAATTTGTAAACAATATAATCCTGTGAACATTCTCTCATTCATCTCCAGCATTTAAATACTCATTTTGGCTGCAGAATAAAAACAAAATAAAAATATATTTAAGAAATTGGATTATTTTGTTATTGTTCTTATATTTCAGTCACAATTACCAGGTATTAAATAAACTGCTGCATCTCAGTTTTTATATGAGAATTTAATTTTCACTGTCTGTGTAAATGATGGAATAATTAAATGAAAATTATTACAATTGTTTGGCATCTACTGCTAATAGTTGTGGATCTGGAACCATAAATGCGGTCTAAAATGACCAGAAAATTTACAAAAAACATAATGGAGCAATGATCATAAGCTATGTGGATATTCAGCTTTTACTACACAAAATGACAAAGGTTTTAAGTTACTTACTAATCTATTGCAAAGATACACTAACACATTTGAAGAGCAAAATCCAAATATCAAATTTTCTTCCAAATCTTTTAACTGAGGATGCAAGAATAATTAATTTTGCATTTGTAATACCTTTCATCTTGCAGAGAATGGGAGGACATGCTGTCTTGCTCATCCAAAGAGCGTAAGGTCACCGTTCACAATCCAGCCTGTCATATCAACTAGATGCAAAAAAAATATTTATAAATCTTGCTATCAGATATAATTGTCACACGTATATGACAAAGGTCTCTATGCAATAGTACATGAGGTTCCAATTGCAAAATAGATTAGTTAATATTGCCTTCTCACAAAATTGCATAATTACATTTTAAGTTCTTGACACAATTATTATGACACCTTTGTTATTCTGCATTGCTCCAGAAAGAGTACCATACGTTAAAACAACTATTTTTAAAATATAATTTTTGAAAGCATATGGATTTTACTGTATATTTTCAAATTGAATACAGCAGTTTACTGTCCTGAGTCAATTTGAATATTTGTTTATAATAATAATTAACATGATATTCACAGAAGTTTGGTATTTAAAGTTATTTTACCATTGAAGTTTTATAGTCCTTTGCAATTTTCTTAGGTGTTGTGAGGTTCAACGGTTTGGAAGAGGATTGTATGGCTTTCCTAGGATTTTATTTCACAGGCTACATTCTAGGCGTGCTGAGGTGCTTATTTAGAGACCAAGTACTTACTCAGGTGGTGTCCCTCTCAGATTAAAGCTGGTGAATATGAGTTCTACTCGCTGGTGAGGCCCAGCCAGGAAAGTATAGATGCACTGGCGAGAATGGCCTTCAGGGTTCAGGAAACTTGGTGCAGTGAAGGTGCCGTTTTGTGGCCCACCAACTCGGCTCACGAATGTTCGATCACACTCTGTGGACAAAATAAAGAAAATATTCACAACATACGCATTCATTATCAACGAAAGTATTTAAGTTATTTCTTATTTAGGTGATAAACAATTGATTTACACAAAATCACATTATTTAAACATTTTTAGCTCTATGTAAAATGACCAAACATTCTTTAGATGAAGCTAATATTTGTACTCTACTGGTATATAAAAAGTTACGCAGTAGAACTCTGATTATCTACTACTTTTTAAAAGAAAGTACCTTTGTTGGGGTGTGATCAAAATTGATTGATGAAGAAAATAATACCTTTACAATACTTATGAAAGAAATAAAGTGCAAGAGAAATTGTGAACTGAACCCTTTTCATCAACAAATGAAAAAAATTTGATCAAAATCAACAGAAATATTATACTAAACAATCATGAGATATGTGTTTGAAAACCCTTTAGAAATTAAATATTTATCACAAAGCTAAAAGTATATGAAGAGCTAGGGAATGTTTTCATCTAGATTTGTGAAATTTTATTCATTTCTTTCTATTATCAGTGAATTTCTTTTCACAATCTTGGTAACCAAGATTCTACTGTGAAAACAAATGTCCCGAAAATGAGAGGAGACAATGTAATAGATACAAAAGAATGTCAAATTAACATACTTCAAACAACTTATAAATATTCAAAGTAATTTTAGCATTATTTACAGCTTGCATATACAGTACATAATCCCAATAGTTGCTTATAGACATGCGGAAGAATACATCTGTAATACTAAGGCAGAACCTGATATGTCATAAAACTTGATTTTTCAGGAGAAACTTTCTAAAGTATATATGTTTACTGATACTAAGATCTTATTTACAATAACATGGCAAGTCCATTACAGTGCTTCACCAACTACTCCCCTCTGGCTTTCAGGCAGCACACTGCAAAAATTCCATATAGAGAAAATATCAATAATAAAATTACAAAAAAATCAACTTTTTGACATATTGAGTTCTACCTTAGATTGCAGGAATACTGTACATGTGAGAGGAGAGTTCAGGAACTTTGCACTTTTCAAACTATTTATTTTCTTTGATCAACTTCAGTTGCTATTAAAATATGTATTTCTTAATAAATATGTAATTTCATTGGCTCTTCAAGAAAAAAAGATGAGTCACACCAAGCCAGTTGTCAATGAATAGTAATTGATGGAAACTGACATCTTTGTGTGTAGAAAATCAGGAAATGCAAACTTTTAAATACATTAAATCAATCCATGAATATTGAAAACCATCTTTCTAGAACTTATTCTGTATAATATTTTTCCTTAAGCTACTGGTATTATACAAGTATTCTTTATATGTAGATTGATGGTTCTAAAAATGTTAGCACTGGAAAGAAAAAAAGAGAAAAGGTTTTGACAAGACATTTTTTTTACAGTTTATTAAAATGTCCAAACTATTCAGAATCTTCCTTTGATTTAATCTTTGCGAGAAGAAGAAAAAGAACCTCAAATAACAATATGACAATGTGAAATCTGAGTTTAACTAAAATTTATTCTTATTAAAAAAATTATTAGTAATACATTTTCACTGCTTTTGTTATAAGATTATATATAAAAAGACAGTCAGAAGAAAGATTGGTTTAATGAATTACTTTACATTGAACCATGCAATGCATTTTAAAATATTTTAATAACTTTACTGCTACATCAGATGTGGATCCACAGGGAGGGAAATGAGGGAAATTTCTCCTCTCCCCCACAAACATTTTTCAGTATCTATTATTTTAACTTGTCACGAGAGTTTCAAGCAAAAATATTTTCGGATTATCATTAAAATGAATAGAATCTAATTGCAGAAAGAGCTGAGTGTAGCCTGAGATGTTTTACAAAATCTTTAAATATATATTTATATATTTTTAAATATATTTTCTTGAATGAGGGAGAAATTTCTAACAGAAGAAAAAGGAGAGAATTTTAAATCATATATGGTAATCTTTGATTTTTATGATAAGAAATTTGTCTAGTTTTGAACTCTTATTTGAATTTTCAAAGATTTTAGAAATATAATAATTATATATTTATATAAGGTAATGTAAGTTATCTCATGAAATAATTTTAGAAGTCATTGAAAAAACTTGTTTATTGTTATTGACCGACTGAAGGAATGTTCTGAACCTGTTGTGCAATAAATATAATTTTTCAAATTATAATCTGAAACTAATGCTTTTGATTAACTATTGTAATCATTTTAATACCTCTCTCTGCTTTTAAATTTTACTATTAAAAACAGAAGATGCATGATCCTCACTTCCTCCTCATGTACACAAACAAGAACGGTTGAAAACAGTTATACTAGAATATTGGTAATGCATTCAGTATTTCCTATTGATAACTCATTGGTGAGTAAAGTAGGCATAAAGATGTGTTGAAGAAGTCAGCATCATTGTTTCTTGATAATAACAAAAATGTTGTAAGTTACGATGCAAATTGCAAGATGTGTATGTTATTAAATTTCTAATGTGCCACTTATGGAAGTAGGAGATAAAAAGAACGATAATAAGATTGCCATGCTATCATTTTAATAAACAGCACTGGGGGATCACTCAAAGTGTTTAGAAAGGACCAAATCGAATAGGAGAAGATGGGGTGCGAGCACAGTTGGATGCTTCTCATCCCCAACTACTTGCTCAGCCCCACGTCCCTGCGTCCTCGAGCCTCCAGGGCCGTCTCCCCCTCCCTCCCGCCAGGCTACATGCGCCATCCGAGGAGGTGCAAGGGGTCTGGAGGTGCGCAAAGGCGTCGCTAGGGGGCAGTGGGTCCACAACGATTCAAGACAGCCCCGCCCCCACCGCCGCCGCGACGCGGGAAGGCGTGCAAGAAGACAACAACAACAATAACAACAACCAGAAGAAGAAGAGAAAAGGAAGAGACGGGGGAGACAGTGGAGGGGCGATAAAGCGACATGCACAAGGCTTGGGGAGAGTTATAAAAGAAAAGTGAAGTTCTAAGGGAGGAGAAAATAGCCGAGACGAATCAAGAACGAAAACCCCGAGCGCGCCGTTCCGTTCAAACGAAAGTCTTCGGGTGTGTGCATTTCGAAACGAGTTCGTTCCTTCGCTCTTTTCGCGAAAGTCCGCACGAATCGAACGGAATGTTAGGGCGGCCTTAATTGTTTGAGGCAAACCTCTCGCCTTTCCGCCGCACAACTTAGTCCTTTGCAATTTACGTGAAATTTCCCCGAAGGCGAAGACACATGCCACTTCAGAACCAGATTCACAGAGGCGATGATTTGAACGGAACGAGTACGCTCGCGTTTCTCATCCTTCTTTATAGGGACTATTTCCACCGCGTTCAGTCGAGAACAAGAAATGTTTACACCCTTTTGCTTCCTTGAAAAAAAAAGAAAGAAAGAATGATAATAAGAAAAAAGAATAATTGCGGGTAGGGCAGCGACCCCGAGGGCGCGGCGTGGGCGGGCGGGCACACAACAAAGAAGAACACACGTACTTGGAGCTTTGGTAGGGAAGGGCCCCAAAGTAGGGGCGGAGCGCCCCAGGCCTGGGCCGAGCGTGTTCTCTACCGGCGCCCTGTCCACCGTATCGCGCGCTGCATGCCGGGAAAAGTCAGAAAACAAAACACTGCATTAGTGGCGGCGAGTACACGTACCTACCTCAGCAACAGGCACAAAAATTAACCGGCACAACTTTAAAGTTTTGCTTTCTTGCTGATGATAAATAGTTAGTTTTCATTGTTATGTGGACGTCTCACCCCCCAAAATCTGCTAATTGAAGATTCGTAAAGATTGCTGGTTTATAACTTGGAGAAAAACTTTCCTTTTTACTATGGACTGAGAAATTCAACGGATTTTAGTTTCTGACATAATCAAGAGTTTACTTAAAAATAATAAATTTTTTTGGAGTGTTGTGTCCATATATATTACCATCTTTTCCAGAACGATGAACACATATTCGTAATAGAAATAGGCGTTAAATATTATTTGAGAAATCGCTCCCAATTAAAGAACGTTCAAGTAATGCATTTACTTTAATGGATATGCAAATATTTTCTTTGCACCGCCGTGAAAGAAAATTGATGGTAACACTCAACCAACAAATATAAAAAATGCTTCAAATTCAAAAAGAGTTTATTCATTATTTTTTTCGGATTGAGGTTCAATCATGACCAAGTATTATGATAAATTATTTTCTCCAAATTCAAAAGCACATTACTTGAAATTTAGGATTGCGTACCTAAGAAGTGAACAGTTCGCATAGTTCAAATTGAAAAAAAATCATGATAATTGAATTAATTCGAATACATATTTATACGTGTATTTATTTTATAAATGAGCGATAACAACCCCGGACAGTATTGAAAAAATGCACATCACTATTTAGATTCCATTAACCTCTTCATCAATGAAAGGTTGAAATAGTATTGTCTGATATTGCTGTTTTCTTCTAAATAACTCAAATAACTTTGCCTGGTGCAATTATAGGACAAACAATTTTGCAGCAACTCTTATCGAGAAAGGAAAGATTGTAGAAGTTTTCGTTGTCAATTCTCAAAAAGGATACAACAGGAAATTTGACAAGAAAACTGCGAGTAAAACACGTGAAAGAGAAAGAAATAACATAATCTAAAATAATTTAATAGGTGAGAGAGAAATGACCTTCCGTTAGTTCTCACAGGATGGGAACTGTCAAGGAAAATGAAATATAAAATAGGCAATCTGAATAATTCATTTCTAATAAAATTTTAAAACAAAAGAAAGGGTCAGTTATGAACATAACATCGTTGCACTATTATATACAAAACATTATATACCTAAAATTAAATTTTCAATTTCCTCTTGATTTTTGACAATATATTCAATAGATAAATAATTATTACCATCTTCATCACGATGTATCAGAACACCTAAGATTTTTCAGGCATATATGAAATGAATGGAAGGGAGATGTAGACGATTTTTGATTAAAGGAGGAATGAGAAGCAGGGGAAACGGGAGCTCTCCGAGCAAACCTGCTTTGTTGACCACAAATTCTACCGAATGAACGGCTCGGGTGGGGGTGCGGGGCGTGAGGCAACGCCCGGTGGGTGGGGTGGGGGGGGAGGGCGGACTTCGCTCCGCACGTGCCGAAGGCAGCGCAGTCTGGCCCGGCGGAAATTTGACGGATATTGCCGGGGCCAGTTCATCTGTGGACGTGACGTCAGCGCCGTCTGGCCCAAGCGCGGGCTACGAGCCTTGGACAGCGCTTAGCGCTCTTTCCTCGGAGGCGCGTCTTGCCGCCTCCCCTCCTGGGTCCTTTCAAATTGCGTTGATCATCAGAATCAACAACTCTACAACAACCCTCGTTAATAAACGAAAAGTAGTGGTTGCGTCTCCTTGTTTCACATATTGCTCGCGTTAATAGTTATATATGCAGCAAGGACATTATAAGGGTTCTAATGATTGAGCAGCGACAAAACGCCTTTGGAAACGTTACAAGTATACAAGTATTCAAGTCCAATAGAAAGAGAACAATTTTGTCCAAGGAATAGTAATAAAAATTCAGCTACGTAAGCAATTAAATTATTCAGAGGCCGTATAACATCTATTTGTTAATTTTTCCAGTACGGAGAGAGAAGGTTATTAAAGGAAATATTCTAATGACCGACGATATACTGAAACGATAAATATCTTCTTATTTTCACGAAACATTGTAAAGAAACCAGAGACGCACTCAGGATTTTTCCCGGGGGAAGGAGGGGGGAGGCTATAGGCATAATGACCAGCCAGCTCGGGGCTTTACTTGAAGAATTGTTTATTTCCGCTGAATATAACATTTATTTTTACTGTTGACCTTTAGTTAATATTTATAAGGTTAACAATTTATATTTTCAAATATTTTGTTGGAAAAGAAAATTAGTAAAAGCTATATTTCCTCCTCCTATGAGTCCTCCCCTCTTTGCCTGTGCCCCTGAGTAAAAATATGAACGTGGAATGATTTACACTGATGCATTGTAGCGTACAACTAAGTTTATACTATAATTGGCAATTCACACGTGAATTGTCCGCTCCATCCATTCCGTATCTTTGATTAATTAGTGCTTTATAAAAACTGTGAATTCATTAATGTTATGCCATTTTCCTAAACCATCTCTGTGTGTTGTATCTAAATTGTACGGTCCACCCGAATATTGCCTCGTATAAATTTGTAATAAAAAAGCGAAAGAATTCGAAACAAAATACAGGAAATCACCCCCACCTATATCTTATTATGTAATCTACGTTAGAATGACGAAGTAACTGTTTCTTCAAAGCATGAAAGGTTCACATTTATTGGAATCATAACTATTCACTTCGTGATTATCCTTACATTCGCTACTTGCTTTGAATTTGACGACAATGACGAATCGCTCGGCATCGCTAACTGCATCGTCAACATCTTGCCGTTGGTCTCATAGTTGGGCTTGTCCCCTTTGCCACCTCGTGGGTCTGGGAGCGGGCTTATGAACTGTCCACCCAAGCCAGTCAACAATCACTCTGCAGCCATTGATACGAGGCAATATTTGCTGTGCACTAACTGCCGGGCTTCGACCTAGGTGGAGCAGAGGTTGGGTCGTCAACTTCACTCTGCGGACAAACACACGCTTCCACCAGCACGCGTTCTCCCAAAAGCTTCCCTATCAAGGCAACGTGTAACTCGGATACTAGGGAAAAGTGACGTTTGCCAATTTCCAGCTGTTAATAAATTTACGATAGTATATTTTATCGGCTGAAAGTAATATATTGAATATAAGAGTTTTAACAGCAATTTACATGCAAGTCGTCAAGGATTAAGGGAAATTATTCTAACTCCACATACGCGAGTTCAGTACAAATCATTACAAGAAATTACTTGTCAAATTAATTCAACAGAAGGAAATAGTCTCGTCGATTTTTTAGGCAATGAATTTAAGGCCATTGAAAACGACTAAAAGAAGTACAGTCAAAAGAGGAAGAAGCGTAGGCGGTTTGCATAGAACCGTTTAGATATGATGAGTTTCTAAGTAACATAAGTACAGGTAATAAGTCGCAAAGGTAGCACATGCGTGGCTTTGTTGATTTTCTAAGTTCTCTGTACAGATGAACTTGACATAAGGCTGCTTCAAGTTCAGACGATTTGCCACACAATTGAGTGGAATGTGTTGCATCATCTGGCATCGTAATTTCTTCTGATCTCTCAAGATGGTCTTTCAGGTGTCCAGCGGCGTTCACATGGATCTGTGTTTAATATGTCAAACGCCGTTGGGGACTCAAAATACCAGTTATAATATATTAAAAATTTATATATAATAAACAAAATATCACAGACTGTAAATTAAACAATGCATTAAAATATATACTGCATGTATTTAACTTTTAAACATATTTTTATTAAAATTTAAAACAAACTAATAAACGATTTATAATTTTAGTTGCAATTTCCTCTCGAGAACTATTTCTGCAAATCTGTCTATAATCACACGCATTAATTGATATCAAAATGTCTTGCTCCACTAATCCTAACGGGAGTGATCCTAGGCGTTCTTGCATAATCGTCGATCTATCAGTTTATTTTAAACAAAAATATTACAAGTTTTGAAAAACCTCTTTCACATTTGCACTAGGGACTGGAATGTCAGAATTGTATTCGCACGCCTGCTGTTCTGATCAGCGGTTTTTCGTCGTTCCCCCGTGTGAAAGATATTTCAGACGAATGCCGGAGTAGCGCCCTATAAAACGGGCCACGAACTGTGCGCGATCTTTCTCCTTCCTATTATCTCACCAATCTCACCACCATCATCCTGTCAACTGCTTCGCCGGACGCCGGATATTACATCCTAACTCCAAACCAACAGTTCTGTTTTAAACGCAAAGCCCAAAACGTCTAGGTCTCTCAGTAGAAAACATGAAAATCAATTCTCAAAGGACAAAATACTATCATGATAGATACACTCTTCAGTAAGAAAGAAAAACAAATTAAACACTCAAGCATTCTATCAAAAATAGTCTTTTAAAAATTCAAAATAAAAAAAATCGTTTTTTATGATAAAGCTACCAAAAGTAAGGAGTTTCACATAAAATTAACTCCCTGCTTAACTAACCTGCTTTTGCCCTTTCCCTGTTCTTGTAAAATTGGATAGCAAAACTCTGTAAAATCTGTGTGATTGACCAGATAATAAAAAAGAGATGTAAAGAGTATCGAGGAGGGGGAGGGGGCCTCACGCAGCGAGAAGTCTGTTCCGCCCCGAGCGGGCTCGCGGGCATCCGTCGATCGATATTAACGATATTATCACCGAAGGTCCCGGCGCGGCGCGAACACCACCTCCTACGTGAACCTTACCTAACGCTGCCAACGTGGCACGGAACTTCCGTTCCGCCGTCACCTTTGATCTGCCTCCAAAGGCTCTCGGCTTGCTCTGTGTTTGACAGTATACTTAGCACGAAACTTGACTGTACTTCACACGAAACTGTGAATTTAATTCTTATTTATTTACTTATCTGTTTACTTCATAATTTCTTTTTCCTGATCGGACTCATATTCAAGGGGTAGTGAATGTTATAGTGAGTGTTAGTGAATGATGATAGAGGAATGATGATCAACAGAAACCAGCCAGAGGTATTTGTGAGAATCATTCGCGAATCTTTGTCCATTACGAATTCCATAAGCTTATGTCTTGAAAATGGGTATTGTATGAGGGAAACCAAATGGGCAGACCTTTATGCTATAGAAGTCTCTGACCAGGGTGTGGATAACGATACTGCGGTGGCTAAATGTTGGAGGTTGGATCCGGAACGCATTTAGGTCGGTTTCATCATTAAGCGCAATGTGAAAGGCCAAGTTCATGAACCAATTCATCAAACTCATGACATCACCAATTTAGAACTGAGGCAATGAGCCATTACGTCCTGTGAAAGAGATATCGTTGAAGGAAAATAAAGAAAGTAAGGAAGGGGGTAAATGAAAGTTAAAAGACACTCGAGGGTAATAAATTTTTATTGTATTTTCTCGTGTGTAGAGAAATTTTGTTGTTAATAATCGATATTAAAATATGCAAGTAAATAAACTGTTTAAGGGTTCCTGTTAACAAAAAGTGCTTTTTGAAAAGCGTCTTTCTGTGAACAAGTACCCATAAAATGTGGACAGGATTTTCCCAAATATGAATATTGCCCGAATATTGCCAAATATGAATATAGATCTGGACGAGCTAAACGCTCTGCAAATTTGAAACAAATCTAAAAAGGATACTTCCTATGAACCCAACGGAATATGTTCAAATATTTCTCAAAAACGAATCCAAATATTTTCTTCTAATTTCCTGCTAGGATTTATCGATATGTGCTTGTAAAAGGGTTAAGTATGATTTTATTTAAATTCTCTGAAATTTCGAAAATGCAACACCGTCATTATGAATTATACATCGTTATTATTGAAGGTAGAGATTATTTTCTTAATTCGATCAGTTCCTCACTATCAGATCTTTGAAACATAAT